GAGAATTCTGTTTTCTAGCTCTGTCACACAGATTTCATCCTTCCTGCGTCATCCCGGTCCTTCACTTCCTTTTTTGTGTTTTGTGGGGACAGGGCTTTTTTTAAAATGATGTTCCATTTTCTGCTTTCAGAAGGGCCTCTCTGATGGAAATTTCCAATTCTCCATTCTCAATTGTTCAGAGTTGAGCCAAGTAGCAGGTTAGGAGAAATTCTGCTACAATTAAAACTCAGGTAACAGGCTTCCAAAATTTCCATTTATTAAAGTACTTTATTTAACATTGTTTAGGAAGCCTAAAATACAGAGACAGGCCCCATGACTGAAAAGAATGCACTTGGAAAACATCATTAGCAAACAATTTGAATAGGCATTACAAGAGGGGGAAAAAAGCAATACTGAAACAAAGAAACAAAAAGCAGCTCACAAGCCTTTTGAGAAAAGCCAAATTACCAGGATAATCATAAGCAAAACTAAAGAAAGCTAGAAATAAAAAAAATGTAAGTAAAAGAGGGTGACAGGAAGAAAATGGTGTGGAGAAGGCAGAGACTTTTCTCATTTTTCATCTTTTCAGTCACACTGGAATACTCTTGCATCCAAAGGTAACTTACCCATATTGCTCACAAAACTCTTTGTAGAGAGGAACTGTATTGATATCCTCAGTCCTCAATTTGAGTCGACCCCATTCTGCCTTTAATATTTCCAGTTGCTTCCACAGTATTAGAAAAGATCTCAGCAAGTTACATGATGTGACTGGATCATGATGCCTCAGCAAAACTCTGCAGGTCTTTTTCCTGCTCTGCAACCAGTTAGCACTTGAGTCCATTATTTCTGCCAAATTCTCCTGAATTTCACAGGAAAATACTTTGCTTCAAAAAGCTATGACAAACTTTTCACATACTCTTCTTTGCTTGATAGCATCTCATGCAATATACAGCGGAGGGAGACATGCAACAGGCTATTGCACAGTAAGAACTTGCAGTTGGCCCTTTTACACCAGTGTCTTTCAGTACAGGAAAAACCTTGACTACTTTTTGACTGCAGTGAGTACTCACATACAGCAGAGAAGATGGGAATAAAAACACACAGTTAAATCTTTCATTTTATTGCTGCTTTCCTCAAGCAAATAGCTTCAACAGCAACACTCTCTGCTTGTTCTCTGACTAAAAGTACCTTCTAGGAATCAAACTTTTAGCTCAGATTTTGAAGGAAAATAACTTTAAAATAACTAATTGTGTCCTCTCCACCCATTTCACCTTGCAAATTTATCACTGTATCTGTTTTCCATCTCAAACAATTCGAATCTCTGCCCACACCTTGAACAAGATCTTTGTGTAGGCTCTGCCAGGTCCCAGGTGTCCCCCAGCAACCATTCCTCACACACACATCCACAGTGCAAATATTCTGGGAGGTACAGCCTGGAGTTACCTTGCCTCTCCTTCACTAGATTTGTTCTTAGACAGTGGCCAGGCTGTTGCTTTCCCCTCTGCACTGAGCAGCTCTTGCTAAAGAAAGAGCTGGAGTTCTTGCCTCCTAAACTTTGCAAGGCATGAGGAGAAGTCAGGAGAGCCTCCGTTTTCTCCAGAAGTCTGACAATACCAACAGGCCCTTAAGAGTCATCTATCACAAGGGTTCTCTCAGGAGCACTGACAGCGTATAGGAAACAACATTGTTTTCTTTGCTTATCAGATGGCCAGGAGTAGGTTAGGTTATTACAGCGTATCTCAGGACCAGGTCTCTTATGTTCACAGAGATTTGTCTGCAAAAAGTAAAACGAGTTCTGCATAGAAGCTGTACAACCCCAAATGAACTGAGCTGTCAGAAGTACCTGCTTGCTCTTAGCTAATGAAGCTCGGTAGTCAGCGTGATCTTCCACAGCACAGCCACAGCTGTTCTGCAGTACATCCTCCATGAGCAACTGCATTGCAGCCAGCTCCCCATGAGCAACTCTTCGGTCTGCATCACTCAGGTCACATAGGCACAGCTGGGGAGGAAGAGAGAGTCTGTGACGTTCTGCGTTGCTCAGAGCGCAACAAGTAATAGCAAATCTCAGCTATTGTGTCCACAGGTCTTTGAGTGTTATCAACACAAATGGATTCTAAGCTTTTAGCACCATACTCCTAAAAAGCATATGCCCATGCATAAGAAGTATTTGATTCCCTAGTTCTGCCACACTAGGAAAATGACAAGCACAGCTTCATTATCTATACAAACGCTCTGCTTGGCTAACAGCAAGATCAAACACAATGTAAATGGTATAACAGGCTTTTGGACAGAAAAGGGGGAGATTCTTTTTGTTTACTCCTGTTCTTCAAAAAACAGAGACAGGAAACAAGGTAGCCTTAGCTTGTTTTCCTCCCACATCTTAGATTCATCGTGTCTTCATGTCTTTGGATATAAGCTCAAGGCTGCTGTCTCACTGTACCTGCATGTTGTAGCTTATATTAATCGTGTTGTTGACAGTGACTGGAAACAATCCTCCATCCATTAGGAATGTCCTCCATGGAAAATGCATGAGTGTCTAAAAGAATAGAGACAACGGTTCATAAATAAAAGCAGCATTCAGACAGTTATGAGAGTCCCATCTAATCTGATCAGGAAAAGGTAACTCAGAGGCCAAGCTGCTACTTGATTTGTGATCCACTCTGCCCTCACTTCAAGAGCAGGTCACATATTGGAAAAGAGAGAATCCTCTATTATTATTCCTTGGGGAAGAAGCACTAAGATACACTCCAGAGCATGTTTCCTACCAAGGTGCCACGTCTGGGCTACTCTAGGTGAACCAACAGTGGCTAATTAGCAGGATGGGACGAAAATGAGGAAATATGAAGTTAGAATGATTATCTAGAAATGTCTGTTACCTTGAAACATGCTAATACCACCAGCAAGGCTCACCTTTACAAGGCTCACCTTTACTTCCCTTAACATTTGACCAGCCTTTTTTTTTTGGTCAGTGCCATCAAGGTGCCTTTCTAGCATGTAGCATGCAGCACTGTGTAGCTCTACAGCTAAGAAAACAGTACCTAAGTTCCTTACAAACATCTATGACAGGCATGGTGGGCAATCAAAACTGCTGCTAGGTGAAAAGAGAGCTCAGGAGGATAATTACCCCAAACTGAAAGTTAGTAGAAGCATCAAAACTGGAGTCAAGGTAGGCAAAATATTCCAACGCATATAAATTTCACAGAATCGTTTAGGTTGGAAGGGACCTCTGGAGATCATCTAGTCCAACCTCCCTGCTCAAGCAGGGTCACCTAGAGCATATTGCCCAGGATCACATCCAGACGGGTTTTGAAAATCTCCAGGGAAGGAGACTCCACTACCTCTCTGGGCAACCTGTTCCAATGCTC